TTTTTAACAGAGCCTTTCCACAGCAGACATTATGACTTTTCAGAAGAAAAAAAACCACACAAGCGACTAATGAAATGAAGTGACAGTAAACTGCAGTCATAGTTCATCTGACCAATATCATTAGTAACACCTATCATGGCAAAAATAATCACGGTGTGGAGGCGCATGTGGAATCATTCTAAGTCAAGTTTATCTCACACATTAGGAGGAGGAAAATGTGACAGGGAAAAAAAATCCTCTTGACGTTCAAGTGATTAGACCAATAGCAAACAACCACTCGAATGGCCCTCAGTAGAATGCATACCTCCACGGAGAGAGCCATGAATTTTCTATTGAGAGCCATGAATTATTCTAAAAAATACAACTGAAAAACAACCCTATCTTGCAAATTCAAAGAAAGAAAAAACTGGGAAAACCATATCCAGCTTGGTGGATGTATTGAACGTTAAATTTTAGTATTGAGCAAACAGTTAAAGATATATCTCAAAATAATAGAAATATTACCAAAGATAATTCATTGAATTACTACTGCGAGTAATCATAGCTGTTATTTCAAAGACAGTCCAACTGAGAAGTAAATGAAAAGGCAGCATTTTTGTTTGACTGTCTGAAGTCTGAATGGTGACACTAAAAACCAAAGTCGGAGAGAAACACTTTTGATTTGATACAGTTAATATCTTTGCACAAGCGCATCACATCACATTTTACATTTACTATTTCTGCTGCAGGATCATCTTTACTGTTGACAAACCTTGAGGAAGACCGCCATCTTCAGGTAATCCTCTGTAACTTTTGGGATTCACTATTTTTCACAGCATAGCAATTTATTTAAAGAGGCACCATGGAGGCCATGAGACGGGCAGACACTCTCAGTGCAAGAATCAAGTTCTCTGACCTGTGCACAGTTATTGAAGATGTAATGTGAAACTTCAGGGGACACTTTTTACAAAATACCATGATAAACGCCATTGATAGAATCCATTGCATAAACCAGTGAGTCCCCACCTTCTCTGCTTGTGACCCCTTATGAAAGAGTAAAGTGCCATTTGATCTGCATAGAAAACTGTCTGAGGCACAGAGAGGGGGGCTGACATGAATATTTCTAATATTTACATAACTTTAATGGCCATTCTGTTTTTCACAAGTTTAACCAATCATGACAAACTTGAATAAAACCAAGAAAAAGAACTGCATCTCTCCTCAACAAAGTGTAGATGTCTATTTGAGCATAAAAGTAAATATGTAAGTAATTTTGGTTTTAATAAAACATCTGATCATTTCTAAATATAATGATCTGACTAACTTTAAAAGATCATCTATGTTACAGGCCTATGTATTTCAGACCTGCTTTACCATCTCATTTTACTCAATATTATTTAAAAAATGTTAACAGTTGAACAGGCCTTTGTTGTTTAGTGGCACAATTTCCATATGTTTGTGTGTTTTGTCTAAGGCTGTTCTTTATTTGTTTGAATGCTATTTACATATTATACATGTTTTTACATAGAAAATGTGTGGTGTGGTTCATCCTATTGTGTGACACTATCATCATTGGGTGTGATAATCAGATAAATCACGAGAAAAAATATTATCAGCAAGGGTCAACATTTTTTTTGGATGTATAACAAGGTTAATCAGATTTAATTTCAAATATACTGAGCAATTTAGGAGGCAGCTCTTACTTTACTAAAAAAATATACAAGTATTCAATTTGGACAAGGAAATGCTAGATCTCAAGATAGTAATGATAACGAAATATGATACAAGCAGTAGCCTAACTTAAGAAAGGTAAATTCCCTTTCTATTTTATATTCAATAACTTTCATGTGGAAATTTCTGGCAATAATACAACAAATTGGTCAAATAATTCAGATTTCAACACAAACCATTAAAGATCATATGATTAATTGGGAATCTTAGAGTCAGTTCAACAAACCTCAATCATTTTATGATGAATATTTTGAATGAAGAAATACCGGTACAACTTTGTTCCTCTTTGTCATCACATAACTTTTCTAAGGGTTTTAATTTGACGTTTACACACAAATAACAAAATAATAGTGTTGTATAAGGCTGGGGAATCAACAAATAAGTATCATTTTTTCATCAATAGAAATATAAGGAAAGAACAATAAGACTTTAAAGCGATATACTGCTTATGATTTGTACAAGAGGAGGTAAAACACATACAGTAAATGATTTAGGTTTGTCATTCTCTGTCCATATAGAATAGTTTTAAACCTCTATTTTAAATCATGAGCACAAATGAGTATTTAAACTTGACATTTATACTACACACTTTGAAGACAGTGTGTGTGTGTGTGTGTGTGTGTGTGTGTGTGTGTGTGTGTGTGTGTGTGTGTGTGTGTTATTACAGCTGCGATCAGGGAAACAAAACATCGCGCCGTTCACCACATCAACAAATGAATGAAATGGAAATGGAGCCAGCAGCCTGCTCCTTCCCAGGGAACACGAGTCCCTCGGTGCACCGACGAATCGCAGGTCTCCGGTGGGGCCGGACCAGTCGGAGTGGCAGCCCCGTCTGCAGCGCTCAGCCAATGGGAACACGCACAGGATTTAGGCTAGATGCGCCATTTTACCGCGTCCACAGCCATCCGGCAAGATGGTCCCCTCGCTTTGTCTGCCCTGACCGGAGTTGTTTCGGTTACTGGAGGCTTCTCTCGCCTCCGCATCATCGCAAACCTGTGAAAATCTACCGGACTGTTTGACGGGGCTAACCCAAACAACACGCTTCTCCGGCGGTCGAGAAATGACGACGACGGGAAGCAGGTACGGGCGCAGTTGGATGTGTTTGTTTGGACGAGCTGTTGTTACATTGGTCACTGTGCTGCCTTCGCTACAGAGGAGCCGGGCCATGAGTGCCCGCCGCTAGCAAGCTAGGCTAGCCGAGTTGTAGCTGTTAGCCGATTAGCTGCGCAACCGGCAACATTCAACTTCGTACGCACACATGCAGCTGCACACGTGCACATTGTAGGGTGTTGTCAGTGCGATTAAACCCCAACGATGCGCTTCAGTGTCCACATGCTGTGACTTGGTCTGTTGTTGTTGTGTCGCTACTTGTGGCTAGTGCTAAGAAGTGCCAGGCTGCGGCTGCTTCGCGCTGCAGTCTGAGTCAGGGAAGGCCCGTGCATGCACCCACCCCCCCACCGTTGCATCACATGCAGGCATGCACTGGTGCCCGGAATGCAAGGTTGCCACGGCAACGTGCAGCATTGAGAATAAGTAATCTCAGTGTGAACGGCGACAGCTAAGCCGGCTAATGTTAGCTAGCCTCAACCTGGAGTGCCTGTGTTGTCGAAACAGAGGAGTGATGCGCTTGGGGGGGGGGAGAGCTGCAAATGTGGATGTGTGAGCTGCTTGTTGCACCGCTGGGCTCTCTCTGTTTTAACGGGGGGGGGGGGGCATTTCAGGCCTGGTAGCAGCTCCTCGCGATCCAATCAGCACACTGTGATGACGCAAAACATCCAAACAGCGGCGTCTCTGTATCAGAGCAATGTGCCGCTAATGAATCCACATCGCTAATAACTGCACAACAACCCAGATGCTGGGATCGTACTGCTCGTCATCGCTCTCCTGTTTTCCCTGAATCTACCTTTGTTGTGGTCTTTCTGAGAGACTGACAGGAAATAGCACGACCATTGTCTGTTAGCTTTGATATCGCTTGGAACTGTGAAAGATTTCGCTCATAGACATAACAATGGTTAGCGATCACTTTTTCTTAGCACATTCTATTTATGCAAGAGACTTTTGTGACAGCACAACTACGGGCGATTATGTATTGTTTGTGATTCAAGCTCCCCCCTGAGAGCAAGAAAGTATTTCTGATTCTGAAAAGCTTGGATGTGTAGTGGGAAGTTTCCCTCCAGCTGCTAGGTCTGCCCAGCTGTAAAAGCTAATGTGCTAAGTGTTGTGCAAAACGGTATGTAAGTAAATCTTGTCCCGCAGTAGCAGAGTGTAGCTTTGACTTTTGCACCAGAGTTCCCGATAAAACAACACTTGGAAAAGGTGTCCTTAAATTTAAGAAAAGGAATAAGTAAAACTAAGCACTTGTTATGGAAATACAGAAATAATGGAAAGCTATATCAAGTACTGATCAGTACCTTGACAGTGAAAAAACACCATTTCTCTAGTCTTGTATGGTGATAGTTAATGTATTTTTGTTTTGTCTGAAATAAAGGTACAGTGTGGTAGTATTCTCATTCGATAACACATTTTCAAATCTCTTTGCAGGTAATATGAGTCTGGATTCTTCTGATTCAAACCTAGACCCAATGGCAGAGAAAGCAGAGGAGGTAAGTGTGCATGCAGTCTCTGGCTGGCAAATAATGTGTGTTTACATTTGTGTGTTGAAAATACTAGCAATGTAAACTAGTCCTAGGAGGCACATATTTAACCTTTGTAAAGACATTTTGTTCTAAATTGTCATGGTACTAACAACTTTTAAATCCCTGTCAGCCTGGTAGCTCAAGAGAAAAGATGAAGCCCTCCTCCTCTCGCAGCAAGAGGTGAGGAGCAGTTCTCTCAAATGAGGCACTCATTGTATTTTTTTGCAGTTACATGCTCTCGAAATGGCACACTCACGGGTTCAAGTGTTCAAAGTCCTTGTGCTAACACATTACAGGAAGCCCACTACTGCCGCTAAGCACACTGGACTGAATGAATCAGACACCTCAGCTGAGAGTGACAATGACGGTGCCCCCTCTGACAATCCTTCCGACAGTAACACAGGCAGCGCATCTAAAGGTATGAACTATTGTGGTACATCCTTTCCCACAAAATCTCCATTCTATATACAGCAGTGGCTCTTGGGTGTGGGGGGGATGAGGGCTGATTATTGTGGTTGGCCACTCAACTGACAGATCTATTTTGATATTATAAGAAGTGTTTTAAAAAAAAAAAAATCAATGAACTATGTTGAACCACCACATTCTATGTAATTAACACTCTTTCCTGATACTTTAGATATCATTGATATCGATATCGTTGCTTAATAAGATGCTGATTGTGAGACACTTCTCCTATGTCTCTTCTTTAGGCACTTTAGTTATGAGACCAGCTGGAAATGAAAACAAAGGTGCCATGAAGCTCAGAGTCGATTTTAAACAGAAACCTACAGGTAGGTTTAGCTTGTGTTTGAGCATGTGTAGCATTAGAGTGTAAATCGACTGTACACCGCAATAAATCATACAGTGAGTGGGGAAAAAGTAAAAGGATGAAAGTTTAAGCAACCGATTTTTTGGTCCTAGTAACAGATGATACCCTGCAGAAGAAGGTAAACTGCACTGCCTGTGGAAAACAAGTAAACCAGTTTCAACGCAACTCTGTGTATGAGCATCCTGCACTTAAAGTACTTATTTGCAAGGTAAGAAAGTCCAAATACACATTTCAAATGTTCATAGCCATTTCAGTGAAATTACCTCCGGATATTTTTCACAATGTTTCATTAATCACATATTTCCTCTTCCTCTAGTCATGCTACAAGTATTACACAAGTGATGACATCAGCAGAGACTCTGATGGGATGGACGAGCAGTGCAGGTAAGAAGTTTAACACAACACCAACAAAACATGATGTATTTGCTTAAATGTAACACAACATAATTAATTAGATAGAAAATCTAACTTTTTAGGTTTTGCTGGGCATCTCAAAAATACATAACATTATTATTAATTGTTCAGATAGAGTTTTTTCCTTGATCTCCACCCATGTGCAGTATAGATACAGTGGAAACTGCTTGTAGTGATCAATGGATGGATCACAACGCTTGGGACAGAATCGTTCCTATACAAATGCTGTTTAAATAATTTGGTTATAATGATCAAGTAATCCTCTTACAATTATTATTTTGGGTCTTTTCATGCACGTTTGGACTGTACAGTTTTCACCGGCTGTCAGTAACTTACTGCACTTGTCTGTGTCCATCATTCGTGCTGCACACTGTCAAGCAAATCGAGCCACACAAGGGGGAGAAAAGTGAGCAGCAGTGTGTGGATACGTGAGTGCGCAATGTTACCTCTCCCTCAAGTTCCGGGACCATCATACAGAAGCTACGCAATTTGGTTATAGTAATAAACAGCTATAGTAATTTTTGCTTGGGACAAAGGTGATCACTATAAGCGGTTTCCAGTGTAGTGTAGAAGTCAGTATAAATAGTACTGACTATATAAAAATTCTTTAAAATACCCTAAAACTGTTTAACTTTTCCTCCCAAGGTGGTGTGCTGAAGGAGGCAAGCTCATCTGCTGTGACTACTGCAACAATGCCTTCTGCAAAAAATGCATTTTGCGCAACCTGGGCAGGAGAGAGCTGTCCGCCATTACTGATGAGAACTCAAAGTGGCACTGCTATACCTGCAGGTCGGAGCCGCTACAGGATCTGGTCTCCAAATGCCACCGTATCATGGAAAAACAAGAACTTGAGCAACTCAAGCAAAGAAAACCAGATAAAACAGATGAACGTGAGAGCAAGAGACAGAAGAACAAATCAGTTAAAGAGCACAAAGCAGTTGTCAATGGAAAAGAACACAACGAAGGCTCAGGGACCATGACGTTTTCCTACAAAAAACTGCAGGTACCCAAAGAACTTATAAAGAAAGTAAAAAAGCTTGTTGAAACTACAACTGGTCTCAACAATACATTCATCCAGTTCATACAGCAGGAAGTTGAGGAGCAAGAAGATAAATCTATCAGGTGTCGGCATTTGAAAGCCTTCAAGGCTGTGCTTGTGGATTTGAAGAAAGCCCACAGTGCTTTGGAGGCTGCTTTGGAACCTGAGTTCAAAAGCATGGAGTTGCAGAATGGTAACGATGGGCAACATATTGTGAGAAAGACCAAGACTGTTCCGCCTCCTGTAGATATTGATAGTATGGATACTGTGGCAAATGCAGCTGATAACGTTGACATAGCGGACAAGTTGGACAAGGAGCCTTTCGATGAGTTGGATGAGGAGCCCATCGATGAGCCCATCAAGGAGCTGGATGAGGAGCCCATCGATGAGCCCGCCAAGGAGCTGGATGAGGAGCCCATCGATGAGCCTGCCAAGGAGCTGGATGAGGAGCCCATCGATGAGCCCGTCAGGGAGCTGGATGAGGAGCCCATCAAGGAGCCCATCGATGAGCCCATCAAGGAGCTGGATGAGGAGCCCATTGATGAGCCCGTAGAGGAGCTAGGTGACGAGCCAGATGAGGAGCCATATGAGGATTCAGATGAGGTGCCCGCCGAGAAGCCAGATGAGGAGCTGGATGAGGCGCGGCCTACCGAGCAGGAGATGGACAGTGATAAAGTTTCAAGTGAGGTTGAAATGAAAGACAGCCAAACAGAAATTGATGTAACCAAAAAGATAATAAAATCTGAAGTGTGTGATGATGACCTGGTATCAGCTGGTGAAATGTCCTTGGATCACGACATCATGTCTGTGCCACCTTCGGTTCCTGAAGAGCTTTTTCAGATGGTGGAGAGTCTTGCGGATTCCACCATGCTCTCACAGAGCAACACAGATTTGATCACAGACACTGATGATGCAAGGTCAAATAAAAACTCAACAGACTCTCAACGCCCCCACCCCAAGGTTAAGAACCTTATCGTCAAGCTGACTCCTGTCCCGGTCGTGACAACATGTGGGTCAAGGTCCTCCAGGTCCAAAAATAGAGAAAAGGGTGGGGAGAGTCAGCAAAAGTGCAAAGAAGAAGAAGAATGCAAGGAGAAGTGTGATAACTCTGGTGATGCAGTAGATGGGAAAGACAGCCCACCTCCTAGCCGTCGCTCTAGTAGAGTTAAGACCACCCCTTTGAGGAAGCAGGCCGAGAACAAGGACCAGGTAAAATCCTCTGAATCAGAGTCAGAGGAAGAAAGTAAGGGGAAGGCCAAATCCTCCAAGAAATCCAGAAATGCCAAAAAAGAGGATGGAAAGCATGCCAAGGAGAAAAAGACTGCAGACTCTGACTCGGACGAAGTTCCACCCATACTGCTTGAAAAGGCGGCAGAAAGTCACAGCACAGATGAAGAAGAAGGAAGCAAGAGTGCTAAAAAGCGCTTATTCAAACTAAACAACACATCCACACAGGATACAGACAAAGCCTCAAAACGTAAGAGGAAGTCTGAAAGCTCTGAGTCGGATACAGAGAAGAAAGGTAAAAAGACTTCCAAGAAGAAGAAGCAAAACAGCTCAAACTCCTCCAACTCCGACTCGGAGATCAAGAGTAAAGGCACAGCAAAGAGAAGATCCAGCCGTGTGAAGAAACAAGAAGAAGCAAAGCAGRATGACAAAAATWCCMCCGAGAGGAAGGCAGCAGACCGCAAAAGGTCTTATGAAAAGAAGCGCAAAGGAAGGAGCTCTAGGTCGGCCTCAAAGCTGCAGTCATCCTCCAGTGAGGACGATGAGGATCAACAGGCTGAAGGTGACTCAGGAGAAGACAGCGACGAGCAAAAGATCAAACCCATCGTAGAGGAGAACGTGGTGGGAGGCACTGGTCCCTTCTGTCAGTCTTCAGGTAATGTGGTGTTGAGGAGAAGAGAGTTTAGTGGCACTCAGCTCGACATTTGCTTAATTGTCACACATTTCAGTCAACCTTAGCAAACCTGAAGTTCTAATGTCTTAAAAAAAGTTTGACATTTTGGGAACTAGAATTGCGGAGGTAGGATAAGATGACAGAAACCGGTCTGATGTCTCTACTGCCAGCAACTAGTTAGCATCGTACAAAGATAGCCTGACTCTGTCCACAAGTAATCAAATGTGCCTCCTAGCTCCTCTGAAGTGCCCCAAAGAACATGTTCTATTTAGTTTGTTTAATTTTCACCAAAAACTGAAATGTTAAATTCACTTTCTGAAGTTTTGCCTGGCAAGAGAGAGAAAAAAGCAAAATTTCACAAAATGTTGAACTGTAACTTGCAAGCTCTTCCAATAACAGTATATTTACTCTTATGATATGTAGAAGATGAGGCGGAAGATAAAGCAGAAGTCTCTCAGGTTGGTGAGGATGACGACGAGGACGATGACCCTGAAAACAGGTACGTACTCAAATATCAAGATTCTCTTTACTACGGCTTTTCACCACATTATATTGACTGGGTTTTAGAGCACGCCGCAATACTTGACTAACCAAACACAGCTCGCTGTTCTGTTAGGGTATTGCGGCGTTAGTCTGGTTCTCACTGAAGAATGTTGTGTCTTCTAAAGTTTGCTATCGCAACACATGTCCTGAGGGCTTTCTCTCTCTGGTTTGTCCCAGAGCATTAAAGTAGAGCTCAGCTTTTTTTGTCATACATTTTATTGGACATTTGTTCATCACAGATATATTGGTATTGACGTGTGTAGAAATTGATTGTTGGGGTGCTTCAATGCTGTCATCAAAACGTTTGTCCAGCAGAGTGTGCTCTGACTCTATTGTTTTCAATGTGTGTGTCTGTATATGTATTGGCCCTAAAAACCCAGTATCAGTTGGGCTCTACTCAGTAATGCCATTGCAATGTCATAAACCTTGCTAGAGCATAAAGGAGGTAGAACATAATTTATAGATTCCGCTGTGCAAATGGTGTTTTTGTTTACAGCGCATCAACGCTGGCATCAGTCTTCGTCACCAAAACTTATGAGATCTCGTTGTCTTTCCAAGTTGAGAATTTGTTGGTGTCTTCTACGTATATGGCTCCTCCTTTTCAACCTGAGATTTGTGTATTTTGTTGTTGTTGTCAAATTTTGTTTTGTGCCCGCAACATGTTAGGCTTTCTGTGAATTCTTCAGACATTTTCCTGCTTTATTATCACATGGGCAATCTCTGACTTTTTGCATACATTTTGCTAGGTGGCTGGAAAGGAAAACTCTGACATTTGCATTCTCACATACAGTCCGGGATAGTCACAGGAAAAGGTCCTGGAGTTAAGCGTATGTCTGAAAGCAGAAATAGTATCATTCCATTCACAAGCTTCATGGAGAATTTCACACATATAAAATAACAGTGGTGAATCGCGGTGTAGACATGAAAGGGCGAACAGGGGAATCTAATAGCACACCTTTAGCTTTGTACAGTACAAATGAAATTAGTAGCACTGGGACATGCTACCAAATAAAACACAATTCAGTAACACTAAGAAGATATGGTCTCACAGACATAATGTTAAATGTCTTTGTGAAATCGTATATAAAACCTGACTGTAGCTGAGATGAAGTCCTACCTGAGGTCCACGATGTCCCAGGAACACCTTAGTGGTCTTTCTGTGATTAGTGTTGACCATGCAATTGCTGGGCAGAATCATGTGATTGATGACTTTGCATCAAGGAACGTCAGGATTTACCAACTATGCAATATAGTTGCATGTAAGTGTGACATAGTGCGTTTTTCTATTTGTGTGATGAACAAGGAGGATTGGACAAGAGTTCTTTGCGAGCAGTATGTTGTAATGTATAGGTAATAACTTGATTCTGATTTTATTTGTGTCTTTATCTTCGGTATTTATGACTGTACATAGTTTTGATAGTAAATTATTTTTTATTTCTTTGATGCTATATTTCTGCAATTGTATAGATATTGTTCCAAATGTCTCAATGAAAATGACTCTTTGTTCTTTATGGGAAGAACATTTTTCACCCTGCATGCACGCTTTACCTCGACTGCTACAACTCCATCCTAGAGGAAACTGTCGATTAATGTTATTCTCCTGTGTCTGTGTTATTTCTTTTCTTCCAAAGGATTGCAAAGAAAATGCTTCTTGCTCAAATAAAATCCAACTACTCTTCAGGAGCAGAGAGCTCCTCTGATAATGAAGGAGAAGATAAGGATGAAAAGTCCAAAAAAGTTAAGAAAGAGGAGGAGGAGGATGATGATGAAGATGAAGAGCAGCAAGGTAGCATAAATTTGTTGAATTTAACCAGTTCTTTTCAAATAAGCCTGTTTTATTGTGCGTTGCCTTAAAGGATTTGTTTCTCTCCTTGGAGAAGATTCAGGTTCTGATGTCGAAGTGAAGAAGCGCGGCCGACGCCACAAATTGCTTCGTCATAAACTCTCGCTGAGTGAAGGAGAATCAGGAGAGGAGAAAGCTTCCAATAAAGAGAAGAGCAAGGGGGGCAAGAAGAAGTCAGGGCGAAAAGGTCCATTTAGTTTTTTTCTACTTTTAAATCTTGTCTTGCTAAATGGGTGCCAGTAATCTGAGGTCTGTTAAACCAAATGACTGTTGTTTCCTTGTCCTCTATTTGTCTGTCTATCAGTGGACAGCGATGACTCTGAAGACTCAGACTTTGAGAAGTCAGAGTCCAGTGAAGAGTCTGCATTTAGCGAGGAGGTTAGCGAATCAGAAAACGACGGGAAGCGTCGAAAAACAAGGTGAGAAATGATAACGCCATCATATCAATTGTGGCAATTTTCACTGCCACTCGATCTAAATTGATCTCCTGCTCATGCTTAGAGGAATTCTGCTGTGTTTGTAGAGCTGCAAAGAAGAAGGATGAGGAAAAACAGAGAAGTTACAAGCAGAAGAAGAAGCGACGCAGAATCAAAGTTCAGGATTCCTCTTCCAGCAATGAGAAGGTGTTTAAGATGCAGTACACTTTATATTTGAGTTTCCTTTATTCATGGTTGGATTTGCCAGGTGGAGGAGATGGACCTGAATAGCATTTGTCAGTCAGGTCATGCATGACACTCAAAATGTTATTTGAACTCACCCCTGGGGAATGTTGTGAGGATTACTGAGGGCACAAATTAATCATGGGGTTGCTTTTTTCCCCGCCATGGGCTGAAGATCAGTAGGCTGAATTTAATGTTCATTTCTACAGAGCGGGGAGGAAGAGGGTGAAGAGGGTGAAGATGGAGACGATGAGGATGGACCCAAAGGACGCAAAAAGATTCGCAAAATTCTCAAAGACGACAAGCTGCGGACAGAAACGAGAGATGCCCTGAAAGAAGAAGAGGAGAGGAGGAAACGTATAGCTGAGAGGGAAGCACTCAGGGAGAAACTTCGAGAGGTAAAAAGAAAAATTCCTGATGTCAATCTGAAGAACAGACTTTGTTCAAAGCTCTGAGCTGTTCAATTCATTTGGTTCGGGTAATCCCCCTGATTAAACTGCATGCAAGGTAAAAATGTTCAATGTTCATTCGGTACTCTGATACAATTTCAGGAATTTCCCCTAGGAAATTGGTTCTTAGAAGAAGGAATGCATAGAACTGTCTCATGTAGATTATAGCAGCAACCATTAGTCTATTGACAGAACATTTATCTGCAACTATTATGATAATCAATCCATTGCCTGAGATAAGAGACCTCTTATCATGCAAAAATGTCAATATGGCTCCACTTTCTCAAATGGGATGAATCGCAGCTTTTCTGTGTCGTGTTTTATTGTAAACAGAATTTTTTTGTTTGCAAAAAAACAAGTACTTCATCAGTAACGTTCCTCACTGTGCCAGGGTCATTTGTTTTCCAGCAGAGATGTATTTGCATTCAGTTCATAAAATAACACAAGGAACACAAGTCAGTCACAAGTCAGTTTATTTGTTCTTTATAAATGTTTGAAATCATTGTTTGGAAAATTCCTCTCGCACAAAACTTCTAAACATGTCATGTTTTCACTACTTTATAGCACTTCTACTACGTTATTGCACTAATTTCATGTTCTGTTCATAGTACATTAATGATGACAATGGTTTGTTTTGGAAAGATGGAAGCTGGACTTTATGACAGACTTGAAGAATAACAGGCACATGATAAAACTCTATCCAAAGGATATGAGACGGTATCAGACATTGGCTGTAAGAGTATTAGCTATAAAATCTATCTTTGTTTGACTGAACCTTCAAAACTAATCTTGCATCTCTCTCTTGTGGTCCCCCTCTCCCGGGCTCTGATCCTCCTTCAGGTGATTGTAGTGGAGGAGTCTTCTCAGATCACGTGTCCCATCACAACCAAGCTGGTGCTGGATGAGGATGAAGAGACCAAGGAGCCATTAGTTCAGGTGCACAGGAACCTTGTCACAAAGCTCAAACCTCACCAGGTTGACGGTAAGGACAAGGTGAACACGATTATTAACAAAGGCAATTTTTCATATTTAACAGCAAGATGCTCATGACTGATCTGGCCCGCCTGTCTTTTTGTTGTGTTTTAGGGGTTCAGTTCATGTGGGACTGCTGCTGTGAATCTGTGAAGAAGATAGAGAAGTCTGCTGGCTCCGGCTGTATCCTCGCCCACTGTATGGGCCTGGGAAAAACTCTACAGGTGAGGAGGAGAGAGCACCATGCTGCACTAATGCTGCACAATGTGAACCAAAGAAGAAAACCTACATTGTACACTAAATCAATTCAATATGAATTTTTGATATAAATCCAACAATTGCTTATTGCGGCTGATATGCTTAGGTAGAAGTGTTGTACACTGTCAGGAAGAGCCTGGTTTGACAAAGTTGAGCTGTCACATTATGTTTAACTGTAGTTCTTTTTTGCCCTGTAGGTGGTGACATTACTTCATACTTTGCTGCTTTGTGAGAAACTGGATTTCACCACAGCACTGGTGGTTTGTCCCCTGAACACTGTCCTGAATTGGCTTAACGAGTTTGAGAAGTGGCAAAAAGGAATGAAAGATGAGGAGAGTTTAGAGGTAAAGACTTTTTTTGTACATTTTTGAGTGTTGTATCGGTGATAACAGTGTGGTATTTGGTTTGTCTGCGTGTGTATGTGCATTTGTTCCTTGTCACTCTCCCGATTCATGAACCATTTAAAAAAAAATCCCTGCATATCTTATTTATCTTTGCCGTGTTTAACAGGTGGTTGAGCTGGCCACAGTGAAGAGGCCACAGGAGCGAGCGTACGCTCTCCAGAGATGGCAAGAAATGGGCGGGGTTATCATCATTGGCTACGAGATGTACCGAAACCTGACGCAGGGGAGGAACATCAAGAGCAAGAAGCTGAAAGAGATCTTTCAGAAGACACTGGTAGATCCAGGTACGCTGCTCTTCCTTTAAACTTTAACTGTATGTTAAAGCAGAACTTTACTCACGTTTTTTTTTTGTCAAAATAATATTGCAGTTTGCTACTCAAGTAT